ACATGCTTTTAATAATGTTGCGAGTCAAGTCCAATGCAGATTTCCTGCCTATGTAGTGTGCACCATATCAAGTCTCTCTATTCAATTAGGCAAGGCAAGGCAAGTTTATTTATATAGCACATTTCATACACAATGGCAATTTAAAGTGCTTTACATAGAAGAAATTAAAATAATCAAAAGAAATCAGAATAATTAAAACAGTTTAAAATAAAAAACAAGAAATAATGAAAAATAAAAATTATGATAAAAATAAAATACAGTAAAATAAAACTATTTAGAATAAAATGAAGGCAGGTGAAGCAGTGGCAATTAGGAAGGCAGATGCCTATGTAGAAACTAAGCAAGTCTTTTAAAGCCATTCAGTCTATTTAAAATATTGTGCACCATTATTTTCATTCAGTGTTTTATGTAACGGCTCAAATTCATTCTGTTCCTCAAGAGGTATCACATGGCTTCAGACTTGTAATATAGTGCACAAGGCTACTATTACTTAAAGGGCTCTTTATATGTGCTTTTTAGAGCTTGATAAACATTAGAAGAGCAGCATGAACATTCTTCAAAGTTTCTATTTTTTATGTCACAAAAGAATGAAAGTCATACAAAAGACAGAGTAATTAATGAATCAATGCATTTTTTGTGTGAACTATCTCTTTAAGAGTCTAAAGCAATTCTCTCTCTCTCTCTCTCTCTCTCTCACCATCTTTATTCAACTCCAAACTGACAGTGTTTTTAATCTTTCCTCAGCTTCTCTTCTGGAGATTGGGGAAACAAAAATCGATAGCTTCTGGCAGGTGATGTGGAGGATTGTGAATTACCGCCCACTTTTCCGCAGCGCTGACGGCCGGCTGGCCTTGAGCCGGGAACACGGCAGTGTGGATGGAGGTCAGAGGTCACGACAAGAGCAGCGTGGGTAAAGCGAGGTATTTACTGCAGGCATGACTGCAATGAGAAATAACTCCTGAAAGTCTGTCAGTAAGAGGCTTTTTTTGTTTTCTAGGTATACTTCGGTGCTCTCAATTGTATTATAAACACACGCACACCGACTTTGATCCAAAACCAAGTGAACTGCCTTGCTGTCTATCACCTACATACATAGGCAGCTGTTTTTTAAGGCAGGATCATGACAGCTACGCTTATACTGCATACACAAATATTGGGTAAAATAGTCCATTTGAAATTTTTAAAGAGGCCATATTATGTCTTTTTAAAATTTCATCCTCAAACCGCAACATCACACACTAAAGAAAGTTGAACATGGAAAAAAGCAAAAACATTGTGAAAAAAATGTATTTTTTATTATATTACAATAATATATTTTACGATTGCACACATAATCAACATTTTTCTCATTGTAATGTTAGTTGTGATGCATTCTGTATAGGACACATGTAATGTTACCTACTTTGAGTTTGAATCATGTTTGTGTTGCATGTGTGTGTGTGTGTGTGGCTCTGTTCCAAAACCCAATAAGCTGCCTAACTACGGCCTTTTAAGGCAACAGAAACGTGATTCAAAGTAATGTGTGTGTGTACAAATCCTGCAAGAGCACACAGTGATGCTCCAGCGTGCCATTACCGTTTAATCACACCACTGACGTGTGTTTCAATCCTTCCTGCCCACTACACGAACAACACCAGCCCTCCACTGTAAATCCACTCACATCACACACACACTTTTCATCACACATCTCTCCAATGGAAAATCGTGATTACAATTAGGACTCTTCAATCAATATTAACCATTGATGCTCTTAAAACTTTCATTCCAGATTAGTAAACAGACCTGTCTATATAAAGTAATTGAATGCATTAAATGCCATTGAAAAATAGCTATCAGTTTTTAACCGAACATCAGTGTATATATATATGAAGAGTTCAGATGCAAAAGCCTCTAAGTGCCATTTGAAATTTTCTTCTAGAATGATCATTTTTATCAAGATTGTATATTTAAGTTCAGTGATTTCACTTAAATGGCAATGGTGATTACCTATTAATTGTTATTTCAGTGAAATTACTGAACTTAAATATACAAGTTTGATAAAAATGATCATTCAAGAAGAAAATTTCAAATGGCATTTAGAGGCTTTTGCATCTGAACTCTTCATATATATATATAGTTGTCTGTGATTCAAAACTATTGTCATAATGTGTGCCACTCTGCAACCTCAACAGCAGTCATGTAGTGTAAAGACCACTGAAAATCACACAGCATAAGAGGGATAAAGGCCACAGAGGAATAACTCAGTTATGGTAAAAGCAAAATCACAAATATTGAGCTTTGCAAAAGTATTCTAATCCTTAAAAAATCATCTCTAAGTTACAAGACTGCCATGAAAATATTGTTCTCAGTGATATTTTTGTCACAACCCCTTATATTGTTCATAAAAATGGCCAGACAAATATGTTGTGGTCTTCAAATCTAAAAATACCAGTATATTTTTTTATTTTTATTTTATTTTATTTTTATTTCTATATTTAACTTCTCTTTAATCTAATTCCCCAGCCTCAGAGTCAGAGTCGAGCTGCTGAATAATGACCAAAACTGACCAACAAACACCAAAACTGTACACTGTAAAAATGAATGTGCTTTATCTAATCAATAAAATTGTGGCAACAGATTACAAGCAATATTATTAATTAAAATTGAACAAAGAATTGAGTAATAATTAATCAAATTATTCCTTAAAAGTTAACCATTCAAAATGAGTAAAGTTTACACCAAAAAATTTAACAAAAATATCTGAATAACAGACAGACGTCAAAGATTAAATATTTTATGTTATCTTTATTTTATATTGCCAACATTGAAGACATCTGATGTTAAAAAGCATAAAAACGTCATTTTAAAACAAACACCGATCACCATAATGGTGACTTTTTTGGTAGGTTTTACTCATTTTAAATGGTTAACTTTTAAAGAATTAATTTGATTAATTATTACTCAATTCTTTTCTTAAATTTAATTAATAATATTGCTTGTACATGGTACATTTTTTTTGATGGTTTAACTTAAAATTAAGTAACCTGGTTGCCTTAAAATTTTAAGATCATTGAACTGGACAAAGTGAGTTAATACAATGAAGGAGATTAATTTAACCATCAGACACTCAAAATAATAAGTTATCTCAACTAAATTATAAAGTTGATTTGACAAAAGAAAATATGTTGTGATAACAAATCTTGAAAATATTTTTTACAGTGTTGCCACAATTTTTTTTTTTTTTTTGAGTATAAAATGCATTCATTTTTACAGTGAATGTTTCTCAAAGTTTCAGATCTCTTCAGGACACATCTTTACTCTTTTGATTTTTAAATCTTGAAACGGTCTGAGAGCATCTTTCTTCTGTTCTTTCTCTGAGTCGAGCTCTCTGGAGGTTCATTCTCCATCAATAGCATCCTCATGCATACGTTCCCTCGGCAAATATCATCAGAAACTGTGCTGTAAGATCTGTCGATGCAAGAACATCTTACTCGGTTAAGTATCTGCCTTGGCTCAGATCCATCTTTTCTCAGGCCAGAATATGGCTTGATTAATTTGTGTTTGAGGGATCTGATCGATAGGTGTGCGGTCAGCTGCCAATACCGCGCTGACTGAGTAATTAGCCAATGGGCTTCTGCGATCGTTGGCAGAGCCGACAGCCAGAACAGAGTCCTGCCCACACTGGGACTGCTCTCCCAATAAACCAATGGAAATCATGTGAAAATGCAAAGGACAAGAATGGCTCTGCTAGACAAAATAACCATCATAGACAATATTCAGAGTAATGGCTGAACAAAATGAGGTTGTGTGGTTTAAATTCTGTTTGAAGGATTTTATGAGGTAACAAATGGTTCAATAATTAAAAAAACAAGCATCATAAACAACATGAAATCAAAATTGCTTCACAAGCAATCTGAGGGCCGTAATAATAATAACGCAATAACGTACTTGTACTATATTCACCAAGCACCTCTACAAGTTTAATATTACGGGAAGTTAAAAAGCAAAGAATATTGTATTGGACTGACCGATAATAGCATCTTGATTTCAATCATTTTCTGCTCTAGAAGTCACAAAAGATCCATTGTGGCCTTTAATTTGAGTCACAAAGAGCAAATTGAAACTTTCCCTCTTGTTTTCCTGCTCAATTTTCTCCAATCGTCACAAAATCGATGGAGCTGCCGGTCTCCTCAACAAACCCAACAAGCGACCGCAGGCGTTTCATACACAACCTGCTGAGCAAGTACGAGGATTAAGTGATGGGAAAACACAGAATCCATGCGTGTGTGTTCACATCAGTGGATGTTTTGTCTGCATACAACGGACTGATTCTTCTTTCAAATATTCATTAGACGGGCAGAGATGCTGCTACGTATGGCACAGTCACGTCAGGCAATAGAATTACTGTAAGAATGCCTTTTACTGTCAACTCCAATACAATTCATAAATGAATTTCTGAAAATGATGGAGAATTAAAAATGTTATTTGGATAAATTGAAATTCAAATAAATTGATCTTACAGGAACTAGAAAAACAAGCCAGACTTTGAATGTTTGCAAGTTTTGAAAATAGACAGACAGACAAACAGATGATAGATAGATAGATAGATAGATAGATAGATAGATAGATAGATAGATAGATAGATAGATAGATAGATAGATAGATAGATAGACAGACAGACAGACAGACATATAGATAGATAGATAGATAGATAGATAGATAGATAGATAGATAGATAGATAGATAGATAGATAGATAGATAGATAGATAGATAGATAGATAGATAATGAACATTGCCAATGAACATTTGCATTTCCTGTCAATGAACATTTGCATTTTATTTGTTTGCATTTGCAAGAAGAAACACAATCATACATGCTCTGAACGACATGAGAGTAAATGATGACAGAATTTTAATTTAAAGGGATACTCCACTTTTTTTTTTTTTGGAAATAGGCTCATTTTACAACTCTCCCAGAGTTAAACAGTTGGGTTTTACCGTTTTCCAATACATTCAGACG